TTTTAAGGCTTTTAGTTCCTATCAGTATGCTAAATTAGCACCATTGCTGGATCCCACCCAGACGATCATCCCAGGAGGAAACAGAGGCAGAAAGCAAAGCAAACTGAGAAAGCCCTGGTGGGTTATCTGAATAGGTGTGAGAGCTGTGCTTTGCCTTGGGACAAAAGGCACCCACTCCCACCTGGGGATGACCAATGACAAGTGGGGAACAAACAACTGCAACTTATGTCATGTTCTAGAGAATAATTTCCCTAATATAAAAAAACCCTATAATTGTAAAACTTTCCATAAAGAAAATCCAGACCCTAGATGCATTCACTGGTGAATTTTTACAAACAACTAATCTTCAACAAATGCTTCCAGGAAATAGACAATTAGGAAACACTTAACATGTTTCTTTAAGGCGGTATAAAATTGATATAAAACCTGACAAAAACATTATAAAAAAGGAAAATAAAAGTCCCCTTCATGAATAAAGACAAAAATCCTAAGTGACTTATCATGAAATATATTTAAAGATCAACAACAGGTGGGATTTTTTCTCCTGGAAAATAGGGTGGTTTCACATTTGAAAATCAAAACATTAACAGAATTACCTCAATTAATATGCTAATATCAATCCATTAAAAGAATAAAGAAGAAAACCATACAATCATCTCAACAAATTCAACACCCATTGAATAATAAAAACTTTCAGCAAACCAAAAATAGAATGAATCTTCCCAAAGACTATCTACCAAAAAAGTTACAATAAATACCATCCTAAATGATAAAATATTGAAAGGTTTCCCTTGAAGGCTGGGATGAAACAAGTATATACTATTCTATTTCATGATACATGTGAGCTCCTAGCCACAGCAATAAACAAAAAGAAAGGTTCTTAAATGGGTTAAAAAGTAAGAAATGGCTATATAACATAATTGTATGGCTAGAAAATCCAAAATAATTTACAGATAAAATGCTAGACTTAATAAATGGAAAGGTCACTAAAAAAAGTTCAATATACAAAAATTGACACTATTTCTTTATGCTAGCAATGCCCAAATAAGGAGAAAATTTTTCAACCACCTAAGAATAAGTCTAACAGAAGCACAAGATGTACACATCAAAATTATCAAACATTGATGAAAAAAATTAAAGGAGACCTAAGTAAATGAAGAGAAAGGCCATGTTCATGAGTTGAAAATTCAAGACAATATTAATATAACCAACTCCCAAATCGATCTATAGATTCAGTGCAATACCAAATTCCAGTAGATTCCCAGGTAGAGGTGGGGCATGTTGACAAGATGATTATAAAGTTCATACAGAAATACACAGGACTTAAAGCAGCCGAGGTAAATCTTGAAGAACAAAAGTGGAAAACATATATCCACAGATATGAGTACTTTTTACAAAGCTACAGTGGTAAGGGCAGGGCGGTGCTGGCCTGAGGCGAGACAAATAAGCAATGAGAATAGAAATAAGAACCCAAAAAGAGACACACACATTCGGTTGCCTGATTTCCAACAGATACCACTGCAATTCTGCAGGGAAAGGAAGGTCTTTTTGATAAAAACTACTGCAGGAACTGGATAGCCACAGCCCAAAAACAGATATATTCATGTTTATGTGTATGTGTAGAATAGTTTAAAATGGATCATAGACTTAAATGTGAAAGCTAAAACAATTTGAGCTTTCAGAATATAACAAGAAAATTCCTTTGTGACTCTGGGATGGGCAAGAGTTTTCCTTTTTTTTTTGGTGGGGGGAGGTAATTAAGTTTATTTATTTATTCTTAGAGGAGATACTGGGGATTGAACCCAGAACCTCATGCATGCTAAGCATGTGCTCTACCCACTTGAGCTATATATACCCTCCCCGCCCAAGACTTTTTTTAAATAGGACACAAAGAGCACTCACCATTAAAGAAGAGACTGATAAGCTGGACTTAATTAAAATTCAGAACAAGCCTCAAATTCAAAAAAGACATCTGCAGTACATGTGTCTGAAAAAGGACTCATTATCTAGCACATACAAAGAATTCATCCATTTTTTTTAACAAACAAAACTGGAACACACACTGAAAAAAAAAATCAAAATAGAAAACATGAAAAGATGCTCAACATGATCAGTGTTTAGAGAAATTCAGATTAAAACCACAGTGAGCTACCACTACACCACTACACTCATCCACCAAGTACTGAAAAAGAAAAAAGAAAGGAAAGCCTCATAAGCAACAGCAAATGCCAACCCGGCTCTGGCACAGCAGGGCCCACTCACACGCAGCTGGCGGGAGGGAAAGCGACACAACTGCTTTGTCAAACCGTTGGGCTGAATCTATCAAAGCCAAACCTGTCGTACGTGTGCTATGACCCATCGATTCCACTCTTAGGTTTATAGCCCTCGGAATCAAGTGCACAGTGACAAGAGCCAGAATAAGAAACAACCTAAATATCCACCCAGAGCAGAACAGACAGTCATACCATGGGGGGAGAAAACCAAACCACTGCTACACATGGATGACTTCGAACACAGAATGTTGAGTAAAAGAAGTCAGACAGAGCAGAATATACTGCATGATTCTATTTGTATGAAGTTTAAAATGAGACAAAACTAATATATAATAATAAAAGTCAAAATAATGATTACCCTTGAGTGAGTGGGCAAGTATAGTCTTTGAAACAAAACAAGGAAGCCTTCTGTGGTACAGAAAATGCCCCTTATCTTGATCTGGGTGCTAGTTATCCAGCTGCAGAGCATATGAAAAATTCATCAAGTTGTTCCCCGAGGATTTGTGTGCACTTTACTTCAACTTCAAAAAAAAGAAAGAAATGTTAACAACTTGAAAGAAATAAGATTTGATCACTGACTAGATGTGCAGGTAAAGGACAGCACTTAGAAATAAATGCTGTTTGTCACCTGGATGACGGGCTGGCTGGTAATAACATATGTTGGGAAATAAATGAGAAGGGGTGGGGGGTTATTAGTAACAGCTTTCTTTTTGGATCTGTAGGGTTTGAAGGGCCTTTAGAAGAGCTATACAGAGATGTAGAGCAGGGAGTTGGCCAATTGGGTCTAAGGTCGGGGAGAGGTCTGGGCTGGAGAGCCGGAAAAGCTTCCCAGCTAATGGTGCATCCCCAGAGAGGAGAGGGGATCAATCAGCAAGACCTGAGGAAAGTGAGGACAACAGGGGACCAAAAATGGACACCTTGGGAGAAACAGTAATAACAGGCAAGAAGAGGAAGAAGGCTCCATGGAGAAAACAGAAAAGAATCACAGAGGAAGGAATAGATCAGAAACCAATCAAGACTTTCCAGGAGGGACTGAACATGAGTGCCAACTGGACAGAAGGCTCAATTGAGGCAAATAATATAGAATCACAACATTTGTCTTAATAAGGCCACTGCTATCCCTTCCCAGACAGATCCAACAAGTGAAGCAGTTTGAACGTGAAAGGACAATGGGGAAGCCTTTGTCAAAAAATACAACTTTAACCTATCCGCTGCACAGTCTACACATAATATTACAAGAGATTATTTGAAGGTGATATAATCCATTCTTTCTTGCAGATATCCCTGGTTCCATGCCTGGATCAAGCAGAAAGAGGGCTATGAGGCCCCGGTGTTGGAGGACCTAGAGACCTGCATTGACTGAGTTCTCCTTTGGCACAAAGTGTCCAGCTTCCCCTGAGAAGCAATTACAGGCAGCAGGCTGCACCGAGATCCAGTACTCACTTAAAGATTATTTACTGTGATACCTACAGGAAGACTAGGAAAGGAACATTTTTTTTAGAATTCTTAATGCCTCATAAGAATTAGCATGATAATTTTTTTAGGGTCAATGCAAATCATGTAACAGACAACAGCTGCATTTTTGCTGTAACCATCAGAAAAATCAAACAAATTTGGCCAACAATAGCACAGAATAGCATAGAAATAGAATAGGTCCTGCGTATTTCTGCATACTGACATATGCTCCTGAATATTATCTCTGAAGTTGATTTTCATCTATTTCTGTATTTCCCTTCTAACCCACTGACCTTGAAAGTCTCATATAGGACATTGTAAACAAAGTAGGGGCAAAAAAATAACTCACCTGAGATACGTTCATTTTCTGTGGATCTAGGAAACATGTAGAGAATCACAAAGGTGGGGCTGGAGAAGAAAGAAAGAATGGATCACAAGAGATCTGATCTGCCCTGCATTTCCTGAACTCTCCTGCCTACAAGCTCCACACACTAGCTAGATGAAATGTACCCCAGTAGGTGAGCATCTTTTGGTCCTTAATTACATTGGCAATAATTTCTCAGTCTTTTGATAGTAACTGGGTTTGACTTAACTATGTCTGAAAATCTGACTGTTGACTAGGCTGCTGAGAATGAGCCAGTCAACCTCTTGGGCTCAGTGGTTTTCATCTTTCATGCTAGGCAAAAACAGGTGATCCATGAAGCTCTTTCCTTCACTACTTTCTGTGCCTGAGAAGCCAGGATGAAGGAAGCACCCCCATCTCTCAATGCCACGCGTAATAAAGGACAAAAGTGAGAGCCTCTCAGGAACTGAAGCGTGGAGAATCTGAAATAGGCTGTTAGGAATGTCTGAAATTAAATGCTCTTAGTGGTAGTTGGCATCCCCCGCCCCCTCCCCCAGACTATGCTCCCTCAAACCCTCAAGTGTAATTTCTTGGGCAGACCTGCTCCTTGCCTTAGCTTAGCTCACCTCTCCTGAAACTTGGCTCAAACCTCAGGCTGTCTCAGTCTGCAGGGTGGCCTGCGGAGCGCAAGGATCCCATAGTGCTACCAGCCGTGCAAATCTAGGGTTTCCTCTTTCTTGGCCTTGATCCTCCTCTGCTCTGCAGCCCTGGCGGGAGGTCTCCATTCAGAAGTGCCATCTTCCACGTGGGACTCCTCTTTACCTCACAAGATGGGTTTTGTGAGGTAAACCTGAACCTAGGGGACAAAATCATTTTAGTTGGAACCTACATGAGGGCCCCCAAACCTGGAACTTCCTGTGCCCCAAAAATCTCCGGTGGGTTCTTCAATAAACTCAAGTTGGGACCACTGAAAACACACTAACTGGACAGTTCAGATTAGGCCCAGAAAGAACCATTATGAACTGTGATCCCAGAGCCCTGAAGAGACACCAAGAATCCCACAAATACAAGTGCCCCATGATAGAGAGTCCACGTTATACTTGACAGCGATGGCCAGTGCTGGAAAGGATGCAATGCCAGATTCGGGCAGAATAGTTTCTTAAGGAGGAGGGAGAGGTGGATGTGCCCCCTTGAGCCGCCTCCCGCGGGCTGTGTGGTCTTGAGGCACTCGCTGGCCTCTCTGGGTCTCTGTTTTCTATCTATTAGAGCGGAAGGGCGAGAACTCCCTGTAGTCCTCACCGAGCGCGCGGCGGCCTCGAAACAGGGGTCGACAACACTACTGCGGCCTTTCTTAGGATTCGCAGGCGCCGGTGCCCGAGCTATGGCCATGCCCCAAAGACCCACAGCGACTACTCTAGCGGGCGAGGATCCGAGGTTTGTACCCCGCCTTTCCGCCGGCTCAGCCAGCTCTTCGCTCGGGCCACGCCCCAACCGCGCTCCAGTCTCTGCGCGACCAGACTGAGGCTGCGCGCGGGGTGACGCATGCGCCAGAGGGCCTGTCCGGTGCTCCCGCCCGCCGGCGCGCGCCGC